GCCCAGCCGACTTTTGCACAAACTCGGCTGGATTGGAGCGGCCCAGTCAGGGTGGTGCGTTAAGCAAATGCCGTGCCCGCTTCTTTCTAACATCCCGCGCGTTGTGGGGGTGGCGCGGTCATAAGTCGCAACAATGACATCTTCACATACCCTCCACTTCGGCCTCCGACGAAGCAGCAGGCGTCGTTTGGGTTGTGCCTTCAGCTAAACAAAGTAGCGGGGGCGAGAGCTCACCAAGGGCTGCAAGTAGACCCGCGTCTGAGGGTAGAGAGGTTGCTGTGTCATCGAATAGACCTTCGAGGGCCTCTAGTCCGTGCCATAGGAATAAGGTTGCCCCGAAGCCTAAGCACATGTATGCGTGCGACGTTGCCGAGTCTATGATGTCAGCGCCGATCGGGAATCCCGTGGCGCAAGAGGTCCACCTGCGTAAGCGCCAACAGCTGGGTGTCATTGGGCAAGAGGTTGACCCACAGGTTCATTCCCAGGCTTTGGCGCAGGCTCAGATTGTTGAAACCGAGCCGTTGCGTATGTTTGCAGGAGGGGCATGTCGATGATGATACCACCGAGTCGGTGGTGATGACGATGATGACGGCATGGTCGCTGCAATTGACCGCGCCGGTCAAGCCAGGTGGCTGCAGGCTTCTGTAGGGCCAGAGGTTACAAATCGCGAGATTGCATTCTTCCAGGGTAATCCCGAACAAATTTCCTCGATTAGATTCGTATCTTGGGTCGCAGATTTCAGATGCGAAATGACAGGAGAGTTCGGTTTAGAAGTGCAGGCGTACGTAGAGCGGTCCTGCCTTCTGGTCGCGCGATGCTCGCGATGCTATCCCGTAAGTTTCGAGTCGACCGGTCCGCGGTGTTACGGTCGCTCAGCAAATGTTCTTGGCTATCACTTTGGACGGCTTCACATGCAGTCAGATGCAGACTTTCAAGGAGCGAGTCGATTATGTGCTGAATGGGATTTCCCTTGAACGCTGGCCATCAGTGACAACTTGGTTTAGTTGGTTTTACGGAAAGGTCAAAGCGTCGAGGGGAATGCAGCGGATCATAGACAAAGTCAAAGATTCCTCCCCCGCTTCCCGACGTAGAACGTTCGCGTGGCTCTGGGAGCAATTCTCAGATCACTTAGCCGAGCTTCGTGAGGATGCCAACGAACGGGGTTTCAGGGAAGCGATGTTGAAACAACCCGAATGTAAAGGGAACAAAACCCCGGCAAAGCCGAAGGGTGCTCCAGATGCAAAGACAAAGTCTAGCGCAGCAGTTCCTGCAAAGGACAATGCCGTGCCAGTCACGCCAGGCCTGCCAGGCAACCCACCAACAGACACAGCAAAGGGCGCGCCAAATGGTAAGCCGAAAGGTCAGAGAGGCTAAGGCAGGTGCCAAGGGTGATGGGAAACGTGATGGCAGGGGTAAGGGTAAAGGCGCAGGCAAGAATGATCCAAAGGGTCCTACGCCTTTGGCGAGCGCTAAAGCAAAAGCTACTGTGCCATGTGTGTTCTTTGCCAACTGTCCTTTTCGCGCGAAACCGGAGGGAGTAGCAAACCCAAAGGGGCACATCCTCCGCAGCAGCAGCTCTACTATTGCCGGCGACAGCACCCGCTGGAAAGGTAGTCAGCAAAGTGACGTGGGTTTCACGTCAGCCACATCAGCCACTCGTGGATCCAGCAGTGTCTCCTGCGTACCGGGTTCAACACCGTCCTCACAGAGCGCTCACTGCGTTAGCCACTCCTGACATATCCGCGATTGCGCATGAAACATGCTGCCAGCCGGGATCCAAAGGTCTTCGATCGGGTAATAGCTATAAGCTTGAGTGGATAGCGGATTCTGGTACAGGTCGCAGCTTAACTTCTTCGAGTCGTTGAGAGCGCAGGGTGTATATCCTGATGACCTTGTGCGTCGTGACGAACAAGTGGTTTCCTTCGAAACAGGCAATGGTAGGACTGAAAGCAGTAGCACCTTTAACACTGTTGGGGCTACCTTTTGGGCAACCCAAAAGTTACGTGCTTAGTAGTTGTCCCACCGTGAGAAGCGCGGGTGAAATCGTCAATCGTGTGGCTGCTTAACGAGCTGCCGTTCTTTGCGCCGAAAGACGCATTGCAATTAACAGCAGACAGCTCGCGCGGCGTGCGCAAGGCGCCAACGGTTGAAGGTAATGTTCCGATCTTCCCAGAGGATGTTCAGTTTTCAATGCCTGCTCAGAAGCTAATGCACGATGCCGCGATCGCGTAAGAAGTCTGAGGAGATAACGTTTGATGCAAGGTCACGTGATGTGTTCTATGACCCAGGGGTTCCCAGCTCAACAGCCGCAGGAGCTAGGGCTCCCGATCCGCTCCGCCCGAAGAGGATCAAGACGAAGTCGAGGTCCCGCCTCCGTCGTTACCTCACCCTATAAGGTTCCACCTTAAGAAGCGGCCGATTCTGAAAGGAGTGAGGATGATTTCCCTCAGCAACAAAAGCTTCTAAACAGGCGCAAAGCATTGACGTCAGTTGTCCCACTTTCCGAAGAATGCTGCGTGCCCTACATGCCAACGTAGCTGTAAGTATCGTAAACGGGTTGCGTCTAAGAGATTGGACCCAGTATCCGACCGAGGTCAGCTACATGAGGCCACTCAATTTGGCGAACGGATAGCAACAAATTTCAGAATCGTCCGTAAATTAAAGGGTGGTAGAGAAAATGCTGTCCAGGTTGTCAGAGACAAACTCTCAGGTTGGATACGAGCATATCCCATTGCGAAGCGGGACACAGACACGGTCTCGAGGAACCTTTTGCTTTTCTTGCACCCCACGTATGATCAAACAACCGTTATGTGCAAATCGGACCAGGCGCCCGAGATCCTGGCAGCGCGCAAGCGTTTGGGGTTTGTGCATGAGGGCGCCTTGGACGACAGGTTCCCACGCAACTCACAGCTTGAGCGGGAGCTGGTTTTGAGATCATTCCTGATGTTTGGCCTTTGAGCATTGAGTATGCTGCTACGATCTTGTCCGCGCAGCAGATTGCAGCTGGAAAGGACCGAACAGCCACTGTCTTCCTGTAGGCCACGAGTTTAACGGGCGCGAGTTGCTGTTAGGACAGCTCGTGCATTACCGTGTTGACCCTACGTTGAGGGGTAGGCTAGCTGCTTCAACTAGTCCGGGTTTGTTCGCTGGGCTTAGATATGATTCAGGACCAAAAAAGCTTCGAAGGAGTGTTACTTGTTCTAGATTCTAGACTACGAGAAGGTCAAGGTTCGCAGTCCATGTTATGCCGTCCCTACAGCTGTTCCCAACTGAACAGGTTTGGGATGATGACAAACAACCGCCTCAACTGCCCTTGAAGCTCGCCTCTCAAGCTGCATTGGCGAACTTTGACCAGCCAAGATTGGATGACATTCAACTGCTAGACATACCATTTGCTGCGATTGAAGGCGCCACAACGCCACGTACGTACAATGAATACACAACCATGGACCGAGTTTTGAAAATCGGTGCCACACCAGGCTGTCGTGGATGTGAGTTTGAGTCAACAGAGCACACGCTGTTGTGCCGTGCAAGGTTCAGCGCATTGATTCGTGCCGATAGGACTGCAAGAGCTCCCAAAACACCACTTGTAGCTTCAGCTGATCGCTCCCGAGCTACGGAGAATGCTGATCCAGGGGGGTCACATGAAGAGGCGGCGAGTGCTGAACATGCGGAGCCAGGTGCCGTTGGCAAAGTCATTGATCCTGTTGATTCAAAGGTCCTAAAACAGCATTCGGTGATGAACCGCGCAAGGCAAAGGCGAATTGCAACCACATCAGATTTGCCGGTCATGAGTGTGCTCTTCGAGTATGCGGGCCATGTCGATTCGAAGGTTGAGCGAGCTGTCAGTGAGATAGGAGCTAAGTGCATAAAGTTATCTGCTGACGTAGTTGGTCCGATGAATAGAGATCACGTTGATCAAGTAGCCGGACAACTTCAACAGCTAAAGGGCTCAGACTTTGGGATGAGTTTATCCATTGTTGGACGACATGAAGGCGAACATAAGACCCACAACAAAAGAGTTGAAGAGTCTTTACGCCTCGCACTCCCTTTGATGCAGCCATGCCTTGATAACCATGGCAGGGCAGCAGTTGAAGGGCCACAAAAACGTGCAGGCGTGGAATCACAAGATGTGGAAGGATTTTGAATCCCGTAATGGTTTGAAGCACGTGTCCATTGATAGGTGCCTGCTCGGGTTCGAAGGTGATCACTGTCCAAAGCATCGCCCTTCGTGTGCAGCCACAAACAGCTTAAACTTTATAAAGGACCTTACGCAACCGCGAGCATCAGAGTAGCACGAAGTACACGCGTGAAATTGCTTACCCCGATGAAGTTGGCCAAAACAACCGCTGAGGCCCTCTTTCCATCGCATGCATTCAAGAGCGTGCCTAGAGGTGTTGAAGCCGGCCAGAAACAGGCAGCGGGCCTCAGGGCGAACACCACTTGGGATGATTTAACCGCAATCCGTTTGAATAAACTTCGTAGTCAGGCAAGAGCCCAAAACCGTAAGATTAAAGTGGCAGAGTTGCGCACTTTGAGTGGGGTAAAGCACATAGAGTTAGAACCGCGCCAACAGAAATGGAAGGGCCGCATACTTTACCGTAGAGATCATGTGACCGACGCGTCGCACAACATTGTGCTTTTCGACGACACAGCAACGTCGCCGACAGCTTCAGACATGTCCTACAAGCGGGGGGGTAAGAAAAAACACGCCGCGGGCATGTTTACTAGAGGCGTAATAGGTGACAGGTTAGGACAAGCCGAAGACAGTACAACCGAACATTCGGTTCAGGGAAAACAAGTGTGTTTGCATTGCTTGTTGCGCTTCCATGTTTCAACAACTGTGTCTTTTGTGTTCTTCTATAGTTCTATAGATAGACAGCAGACAAGTAAGAATTTCAGTAGTTAGCTGGATGGATAGATAGATAGACAAGTAGACATATAGATGGACAGTTCAGATAGATAGACAATCAGACAGTTCAGATGGGCAGTTTCCTCAGGCTGATCCGCTTCCAGAAGCTGGACAAGCCCATCTTCACACCCACGACCAAGGCCGAAGTGGGCCCCGGCCTTGCTTCCGTTTCCGCCTATACACTATCTATCCAGCTATCTATTTACTTACTTATCTATCTATTTACTTATCTTACTACATATGCATAATCATTATATATATATATCTTCGTATTATGTATATATTTTGCATAGCATGTATTGTGAAATTATTATTATATTCTGAATTATAAACATATTTTACTATATTGTACATTAATATATATATATATATATATATATAGAGTACAAAAATGTATAATATTATAGTATATAGTACTATGTTAAATCAGAGTAGGCATTATTATGCTATATTATGTTATATCGCAGTACATTAAATATCTATGTGTATCATAAAAATTCTGTTAGTATGTTATGACTATACTACAACAGATTACATTATGATATAACATTATATATATATATATATTATAATGTAGTATAGTACAAGACAATCTGGTATAAGATAACATAAGATAATATGACAAGCATGTTCATTTATTTGGTTGTTGATATATTCATTTGGAACATACACCCTATATTGCTTCTAGTATGGTTTGCGGCGATCTAGCCCTATAGCCTCTGCTGTTGAAGTATGATTTCATATTCGTTTCGGTATTCCCGAAACCCGAAACCTACGACCTACACGGCAAGTCGGCAACATGTGTGCTCAGCACAAGCCCCAAGGTCACGACGAGAACATGACCATGGACGATATGGAGAAGCTTTTGGGTGCCAGCCTCAGCCGCTGCGCCAGTGTGTCTGCGTTAAAGCAGATCATGCAGGGTTGTAAAAGGCCATGCATGTGACGTCAGTGTCTCATCCGGTGTATACATGCTTACAAAACATTTAGGCAGCTTGATGTTGCACAGAGTATGTAACGTAGAACATGGTCCGGGTCGAAGCTGAGATAAAGTCTTGGGAGGACATCTTGATAGTCAAGGTATGTAGACCTCTTTTAATCGACGGAGAATGTTGGAAAGCGACGCCTGAAGAATGACCGGCACCGATTATTGGGAGCCTACTCGTACATTTGATCCATGCCGAAGTTTCCGCATTTTAGGCTTTGGAAACTTTGGTATGTTGGAAGCGTGCCGATGTTTCGCATCGGCGGTTGCCAAAGGCGTCGGCTCGCTCAAAACGTGTGCAAAACTTCCAGACATAGAGAGCCTACGCCCAAGATCCTATCATCTATGGTTATAGGATCTATGTGCATGTGTATGCGTCTGTATACGTATGTATGTACGTATATATGTATGTGTATGTATGTATATGTATGTATATGTATGCTTATGTATGTATATGTCTGTGTATGTCTGTGTATGTATGTATATATGTATGTATATGTATGTATATGTATGTATATGTATGTATATGTATGTATATGTATGTATATGTATGTATATGTATGTATATGTATGTATGTGTATGTATATGTATGCATGTGTATGTATGTATATGTATGTATATGTATGTACATGTATGCATATGTATGTATCTATGTAGATATATGCAGATGCATCGACAGAGAGATATACACACTCAAACACGCACACAGACACATACGCATATGTGTATATGTATATATGTATATATGTGTAAATGTGTATATGTGTATATGTATATATGTATATGTGTATA